GGGTGTTGTGAGAATGATGAAGTCAACATATGTACTAATGTGCTGGACACAAATGACGTGTGTACGGATTGTGATGAGTTGTATGAGCCCCTAATAAAATGATTATTTAATTAAAAAAAAGGGATGATGATTGGTGTCACAAATCTGTCAGAAATTAGAGCACCGTTGTTTGCTTCTTTAGGCTAGAGGTCAGAGGTAAAAGATCAGGTTTCTAGTTGTCTCTAAATAAAGTCGGGAATAGATTGAGGAGAATTGTTTTGGAAAAGGAACTGTAAGGATGCTTTGTTCTGTTCAATTAGGCTGTGCTTTTTTGGACCCTTCCATTAGAGTAAGGAAGCTTCTGTTGTTATTGTTGTTATTTGAGCTTTTTGGGTTGCATGTCTGTTGCAAGATTTGGCTCATAGAGTTCTCTAAGGAGAGGGAAAAGTGTATATATATATAATATATAGCAATATATATTTATATGCATATAAATTTTATATAGAGATATATTTTTTATTCCTTGGAGAAATTCATATATATGTATATATCTATAACTATATATATAGCTGTAACTATAAATAAAAATAGAAGTGAGATATCTAGATCAAGACCAAGAGAGAGATAGATATAGTAATAGATATGCTCTCCCTATTTCAAAGCATACCGTTTGTGTAATATGTGCGGCCATCCACCCACATGTTGATTGAGTGATATCGCCTCCCAATGTAGAATAACGCAGTGGGGTATTTGACACCTCAGAAGGTGTCTTGAGAAAGAAAAACTTATCTAGTCTTTACAGTGGATAATATTCCAATTATTCTTTCATAAAATGCACAGTTTTGGAGTCTCTCAGGAAGTAATTGATAAGAACAGTTTTTTATTGTCATATTTTTCCCTTTTCTTCTTAGCTATCAACAGCAGGCACTCCGTGTAGAGAAAGTATTGATGAAGAGTGTGATTTTACAGAGTATTGCAATGGGACCTCTGTTAATTGTGTGCCTGACACTTATGCTCTGAATGGTCATAGGTGCAAATTGGGAACTGCATATTGTTATAATGGAAGATGTCAAACTACTGATGATCAGTGTGCTGAGTTATTTGGAGAAGGTATCCTCGTTCTTATGTATTTATTTTGTATTAAATTCAAGGTCCCCTCGATTATAATTGTGCATATTATACAACTATAGAAATGAAGAACATGAATATTGATGAACTCAGTAAAAATTAAATTGGAATTAAACAGTGTTAATTCTGGTCAGAACATTTTTTTTCTTTTTTTCAGAACATTGTTATCGTCCAAGCCACCATTGTGTATTTAGAATTGTGTCTCAATATTGCATTTTTGTTTCTGGTAGTTTGCTTCCTGACCCAAAATTCATTATGTTTATGGATCATAATTTATATTGAGAACATAGTGCCAAATTAATATTTTCTAAAATGTTATTTAATTTTCTTCATACCAACTCTCATTTACATTTTCATGCCATAAAACCATCTCAGTTATTTTTATTCAGTATCTGCATATTTCTTCATTTCATAAAAATTGCTCGTGTAAGAATAGACATAGGTCACTTGATCAAAAGTCATTTGTATGTTGGTTGTTTTTTTTTTCTTTCAAACAGCTGTTGAGAGTAACTTAAATAATAGGACACACACTTAAATTTCAATGCTTGATTTTTTTCCCCTTAATGATTATTCCTAATAAAACAATACAACCCTATATATTTAAAGGAATTAAATTGAAATGTATCCAAATATAAATTTAATTGTATTTAAATTCATTCAAGTATAATTAAATTAACAGACTCAAAAGACAGGTAACAAAAAACATATTTTGTTTATTTATATAATGGAGTTCAGTTAGTACTTATGACATGGTATTTGGTTTGTGTTTTCCTCTTAATTATTTGAAACAGTTTTTAGCATGAATTTTGGACTAAATGACAATTAAAATTCAACCTTAAGTGCAGAAGTATGATCTTCCAAGTGACAGGTCACTGTAACTTTCTGAGTGCTCTCTTCAGAATCTGCTCCTGCTTATTTTCACTTGAAAATATATTTGTCATTGTCACATTGACTTTTAATCAGA